AAGATTAACCTGGAAGAACTACGACCTAATAAGTTCCCACCGAATAGAAATTTTAGGCAAGGCCCAACTAGAACGGCAAGAAACTGAATAAGAGATCTACAGGGGATACCGTATGGTCTGAAACGTTCCTGAATACGTGTATACGATAGGCATATTGGCGACCACTTGAAAGACCCCCAAAGACTGTAACTTATCCCATGGTCAATACACATAAACCTAAATGTTGGTGGACAAACGTCGTAGAAGCCAAGGAAGCCTGTGACAGAACTAGAGAGGCTTGTACCAAGGCTTGAAAGAGGGCAACCTCGTGAACTCGAAGGAGTCAGAACAAACTGTGTAGTGAAGAACATAACAGTTCTTCCAAAAATTGAAAGCAACCTATGGAAAAAAGCTACAAAATAGTGCAAAGCGAAATAGGTAGAACAATCTCCCAAATCAGAGCAATCCAAACAGTATTTTCGAAGCATGAATGAAGAAGAGAACGGGAAACGATTGGGATCAAGTATAGTAATGTGATAAACTACGACGACGTTATAGGAACGATAGCGGTAGGAAAAACAACGAAGCAGGATGGGATACCACTGGAGGCTGTCGAGCACTTGTTAATCTATCACTTAGAAGGCTCGCTAACTAAGTTACGAAGAGGTCCCTTCCCTAAAGATTGGACGGAAGGTAGACTGCTACTCATTGCAAAGCATGGTAAGTTGGTTAAATGGCAAGTTCATTCTGCTGCTTTAGCATAACGGCTAAGGCATGTGGAAGCCGTTTCGTATCGTGGTTGACGAGCGAAATGGGGAAAGAGGTGCCTTTGCAAGAAAACTATTTAAAATTTAAGAAAAGATAACCAGTTTTCGCGGCCCTAGAACAGATCTTAGACCATACCCAAGGAGGCTAGAGAAGACCCCAAAGACCAGAAGTCTGTTCGGCGTCTTTTCTCGACGCCAGCAGTGCTTTTGACCCAACGAGATGAAATGGATGTGTGACCGCGCTAGAGATGAAGAAACGACCCCAAATATTTGCCGCACCGGAGTAGCGGATAACCTGACCCAAATCAGAAGTTAACACTGAATATGAAGAAACAGGGTATCACGAGACTTCATCCTGGGATCAATTCTAAGGAATCTCATCTACCGCAGAGTCCTCAGACTAGCTGTGGTGAAGGGGTAGGCGCAGCAGCCTATGCAGACGATTTGCCATTCGTAGCAAGGACAAAGATCGGACTGAAAAAGAAAAAGTAAAAATCCTTAGGCAATCTGCCAGAATGGATGAAAAGACACCAGTCTGAACTAGTACCTAAAGAAAACAAAAGCCATACTAATTATTAATAGAAGAAAGAATTGGGGAATCTTAATGTAAACCTGGAAGGGCACGTACACAAACTAGGTGGTGCAGTACCCGAGAAGGTTAATCATTAACGCGTAAAGCAAACGGTGAAAGTGGTTTTTGAAAGAGCATCGGCAAGCTGATACCGAGAGTCAGGGAAGGAAGCTTCTTGCCTCACTGGCGGATTCCATAGTTTTGTCGCGTTTTAAATCACCTTGATTCTTTTTGATTGGCCGTAAGTATGATACTATAAGACATGCTTAAGGAACGAAAAGGAATGTATAAAGATGGAACTTCTACCCGAAAGGAGTCTAAGGAGGATACTTTTGAAAAGAGGCAGCCAAAGTGGAAATTTATAATAGGAGTCGCTACTTGGACTAAGAGGTTCATCTCGGCCATCATTGTTACGGGAAAGAGTTTGAAAAGTGACCTACCAGCTGATCCAAGTCTTTCCTGGCCACGGACTTAGTACAAAGCAACTCGTGCAACCCTAATTAACGCGACGACATGGCTGACACACAAATACTGGACATTCTTCGAAAAGTACAAGAAAACTAGATGCTACTTAAAGTCTATACTATGTTAAGTTTGAAGCTTCAAGATGAAAAAAGCTGCCCCTCAATATGCGAATAGGTGATGGACAAAAGCAACGCAGAAGAGCCTCCACGAGCCCAAAGTTAAAGGAAAGCGGATTACCACAGACTCGATGTAGTTAAAACAAGTATTGACCTAAGATTAAAGACAGGAAAATGTGATGTTAATAGGTACTTAATGGGTAGGGTGATCAGACATTGCTACCGTAGCAAAATCCTGATGTGCTGCTTGGTTCTTGTAAACAACAGTAACCCACAACCAGTTAAAGAAGAAGACCACAAATTGGACTAACAACTCAATGTCACAGCACGGAGCAGTGTACATACTGATCCAATAACTTCAATGAGAGTTTGTGATGAACAACTTGGGCTTATCGAAGAGCACTCTGCAGCGCACTTCAAAAAAAAACTACATCGCGAGCGGAAGTAATCTGTTTGAAAGAATGTTCAAGTAGATTTGAGATTCGAATACACCTTTATTACCAAGGGGAAGCCTAAAATGGTAAAAGTATGTATTCGTCACCAATACCTAGAGTACTGTGTTTAAGCTTGACAAAGATACAGTTCTCGTACATCCATCTAGAAATTCTTTATGCTGCATAAGGATCGAGCCATCGCCTTGAGCTGAATGGAACTCCGGGTTCGCAGAAATTTAGGCTAATATTAAAAACGTTACTTACGGGATTTGCTGTTTAGACTTGCTCAAGTGCACATACATTTTGGCGCTGCAAGAACGCGGCGGTAGGTGGCAAGCACTGTTTCATGCTTACAACACTATGGAAGTTTTTTTCAAATACTCAAGATCACTTTTTGATACGGTTTTTTTTTAGGTAAATTGCCTAGGATAAAAAGTACCATAGCTTTAATGAAGTAATTAATTTGCAAGAACGGACAAATATCGGGATCTATAATAAAACATCTAAAAATACAGTTTTACTAAGGTATTAGAATAAGATTTGCCTATACCATTGCCGACCTTAATCTGGTATAAGCGCTTCGATAAAGAGTAGCGGTTTTAGGCTGGTGTCATGAATACTTAGATATTTCATTTTTTCTTGTATGCTGATCAAAATAATTGTAGTGGGAAGCTGTACGTGCATTTGTGTATACAAGAACTCAATCCTGACACATCTCTAGCAGTATTTTGTACCTGAAGCGGCGTGTTATGTTGTGCTAAATAATCTTAAAATTTCTTAAATAAAATTTCACATTGAGTCATTAAAAATGTTTTGTAGAGAAAGCTATAAAACATTAGAATGCAGGGCTGTAGTTTGAAACATTGGTCTCAAATCCCTTCCCATATTTTGCAGAAATAATCCAGGTACAATACTATCAGTATATGGCTATTCATTTAAGATACTCGGGTAGGAAAAGAATTTCTTGCGACAGTTTCCCAGGAGTATAATTACTTAAATAAATTAAAAATGGCGATTTCAGAGAAAACACCTTGCAGATTTGAATAATTTGAGCGTTTATTGCTGCTGTAAAAAAGGATAAAGAGGGAGAAGAAGGTTACCAATATAGAGAAGAAAATCGTTTGGCAAGTCTATTTGATTTTTCAGTTCCGGAAGGAGCAGTGCGGCTGGAGGATTCTAAGACCGGAAAAACCTACTACCTTATCACAATCGCACTTTATCTACAATGTGGTTATATTGGTTTTGGATTTTGTGAATATAATGGAGTTAAATATAAATAGGTCGATGAGTGGAGTTAATATTTTAGTCTGGAAAATACAACCACTTCCCAAACTTATTGTACATGTGTTCTCTCAAACGCAGTCGCTGAAAAATGTCCAGTTCGTTATATGAAATTTAGTAGTAACTCCCATGATTAATTTGCATTTAATTTAATCGCCCAGGATGTTAAAAAGGATTACCTTATGATATATTTTATAAGTCTATATGTTTTACAAATAAGTTCTCCTGTTTACAGTAGTGTGACACTAGTTTACAGTCAATTAAGCAAATTAAAATTACGGAATCACTGATGTCACAGAAACTGTTGATATGGCATAAAGATTAGCCCTAATTAATGTACATGTTGTTGATGCCGATAAAAGTATAGAATATGGGCTTAGACGGTGGAGGGCTCCTTATGGAATGCTCGGAAGTATTTGGTTAAATTATGAGTTCAAAAGTTCTTCAGCCATAAAATACCAAACCATAAAATAAAATCGCGGCTTATTTGCTCGTCTTCTACCAATAGCTTTTTGTCTTTAGTAAACCGTTAAAGACAGTCCTAAATTGTTAGTGAATTTCTAGAAAAACAAAATTATTTGAAGATCTGATAGAGATCCAGGATAAGTCGAATAACGAACGGCGAGATGCGTAGAAAACGAAAGAATACAGGTATGATTTGTTCAGATAAAGGTACTTGAGAGAGGTATTGTTTAAAGAGACGTTAACATAAAAAATGGTACTTTTCAACAAACTAAGCTTAGATAATTCAGCCATAAAACTTCATACTGAGCTTCATACTGAGCTTACAGAGAACAAGTAGCAAAAGGCTGCTTTGTTAAAATGAACATTAAATTCTCCAGGCTTACTCTAATTAACATGCATGAAAATGACCCCTACGATCGAAATAGCGAAATCCACTGACAAGGTACGCATCTCCAATAGTAGTTGAAAATCAAGATCAACCAAATAATTAACAGTCGCCTGAGGGCGGACATTTGCGTCATTATAGATGAACCCAAGATACTGAGACTCAACATAATTAGAGCACACTAACTAAGGTATCAAATCTCATAAACGCACGCTCCCCTAATATTAACTAATAATCTTGATGCGGTAATTTTTGAAATTCGCGGTTGATAGGGGTAATCATTTACTATCGTACTACACAACTGAATCGCTTTCTACAAAATGTATTTCTTCAACGTGGTTTAAGTTTTATTTAAGTTTAAGTTATATTTTTATGTACTTGTCATGTGGTTAGAAATACTTCTTTGTTTGTCATTGTGCATACTCTTTGTTGACAATAAATTCGCGGTGTCAGTTCCACTTCAAAAATGAATACATTGCAGCATACATATTCTAAACAGAGTCAGAGTGGGCACGCCGGTTTCTCGAGGCACATCACCGCAAATAGGGCCTAACTTATTTTGATTAATATTAAGTCTATTGCACTATGTTCGCCAGAAATGGCCCAGGTTAGTAGAACCGTATGTATGTTTTTACCCAAATTGCAAAATGCCGAACACATACTAGTAGCCATTTGTATATAATTACCGCCTGCGGTTCAATGGAACCAGGTTTCACGGAATAGAATAATATCAGTTTCGATTAGTAATTAGTGGAAGTGAATAACATCGAGCACTTAAATTTCGTGGCGAAACGAACGTTTAGGTAGAACACTTTTTTCGGTCCAGGCGGCGGTTAGTACAGTGGATGCAATGGGAAGAAAAATCGGTGCTATACAAAGTTTTGCGTGTTTTACTTAAACCATAAGGCATGATTTGGACAACTGGTTCCTAAACGAAACGTGTGCCTGTGCCCAGAACCTAGATTACCCAAAGACTGTGTGCCCAAAGACTAGAAAATTGGGTCCAATATAAGCGTTTCTTGCTCCAATCATGAACAAACACACAAAAGATAATAATGTCGTGTTGAGTGTGTAACCTGCAAACTAAAAAAAATTGATTTTACATGTGTGCTTCACAGCCCAATACAGATTAACTGAAGGATACTTTAAAATGACTCTTAAAACGAGCACACACTTTTTACGAATACGGGCAAAAACAAGTGTAATTTGAACAATGATTGCGTTTTTGTTCCGATCCGCGTGTCGGCTCTCACGTTGCATTCTAACGCACAGCAACCACAGGCGAAAGGGCAGCACATCAGAAAAGGAAAATGTGACGACGACAGCCGTACTAAATGTAGAACCAGTATTATTTACATCCGTGAATTTGAGCCCGATCCGTGCTGTTTATTTGGGGTTTATTCATGCAGATCCTTTTTGCAATTAGACACTTCAAATTTACTCAACATAATCTTATGCTTCTGACTATACGCTAGACTTGTCAGTTCGACAATGCAACGCAGTACAAAAGCATGAAGGTCAGATGGACTCTGGTTGGTTGGCAAATTTAGCTGACATCATTTTCTAAGTGTAGCGCAGATTTAACCTCCTGGGCTGGGCTAACATGAGAACAAAAACCCGCACAGAAACTCGCTTTTTTTCCATTTTAGGAAGTTAAAATAGGCCATAAGCTTTTGGAGCACTTTACATGTACGACACTATGTAAATCTGATGTCGTTATACTGTTGATATATGCTCAATCGGCCTGCAGTAAAGAACGCTTTTGGAGGAAGTACGAGGTACCACAGATGTACTCTCAGGACTTAAAATCAAAAGATTTCTGCCGAATTTAAACTATAGGGCAACAATGGGTGGTATGCATAAGGATTCTTGGCTCGAAGATTTCAACAATCAAGTTCAAAATTTAAAAAATAGACAGAGACGCAAATATAGCTAACTAATATGTGTCTACTAAGAATCCAGCTACCGAGTAACTTGTACAATATTAATTTCACCGTAGGTTATCAAGTGGTTTTCCGTATACTAAATCCAACGAATTATTCTTCATTTGCACTTATTCAGTTCAACAATTATTAATGTGTAAGTACCCGCAAGTCTGTTCAGAAAGACCTAATAGTAATGACATTAAATTTAAATATATGTTATGAGGTACCGATTAAAACTGTGCAATTTGAGGGGATTTTTCCTAGTACTTCGCAAATCCGAGTTGTAGTGCGTACAATAGTCGTATGTTTTCGGAGTAAACCAACGTTTGCATGATATGTGTTACCAATCAGATAAACTTCTATAGTGTTGAGTTCATGAAGCATGAGTGTTGAAGTCATTACTTAATATCACAGTCTTCACCACGGGACATTGTTTTAGCGATTCGATTCTACTTGATCCCGTTTTCAAAAAGCTGCGCTGGCCACTTGGCCAGCAGACCACTCATTCATATATCTCATCAGAGAAGTAGATTTGTTATTGAGGATTTTCTTTTAGCTTTAGACATCCAGTAGTTGTTATAGGTTTTTATTAGTAGTAGTCTTTAATATGCTGTTACCTTAATATTTAACATCAAAGTTATGCTACGCATTCGCTTACACAGAATATAACAACAAAACGTTCATATGAACCTTTGACTCAAATTGATCTGTGCAGCAACGCGCGTTTCTTTGAAATCTCATCAGAAATATGTAAATTAAGCCGCGTAGCAAACGAATACATCGTGATAGTCAACTCCAGCTTCTGCTCCTAGGTAGAGATTGTTTTACAGCTAGCACGCTTTAATCGGTTAATAAAATAATTATTAGGTACAACGTGGCTAGCTGTAATGGATACGCGTGCACGTCCGAAATAGAGGCGAAAGGGCTAAGGGGAGAGCAATGTTCGCGCACTCTCCACCCAAGACTGGCCGCTAAGTCGTCTGAGGATTGGCAGTGCTAATACTGTAGATCATTCGCACGCAAATAGCTTTACAGTAAATAAATCTGACCAAAAATAAAACAGAGTAGAACCTATACCAATGACCTGCTATTTCGCAAACTCAATGTATCTTTCAGTTTGCGTTTGCTAACAATATTATTAGAACTACAATGGATGATTGATCAAATCCGTCATCGACAAAGCCTAGAAAATGACTTGAATTGGTACTGGCAAGGATAAATGTTCTCAACATTATTTCATATCACCCATTTACATTAATACATAATTACAAGCCCCATATAAGCGGCAACATCAGTCAAGTTGTCTTCGGGACGCTGAGTACGATGATAATAATTACTGTGTGTAAGATTGGCAATAGTTGATAGGTTATAGTTTAGTGTTTTTAACTCTTTTTGTAAAGGGAATAGTTTTCATTTTTATTGATGGTGATGATGAATGAATATTTTCTGTTAGACAGCCTGTATTAAGAAAAAAAAAAACATATAAGAGAAGTCGCCAACATACATAAAGGCCATGCTTTAGTTTTAAACCAGATACCTGAATATTTATATTAACGCTATATAATATTTAATATATGATTCCAGAAATATACGACTATGTGGCAACCATTGGTTTCGTTGAAAAAGAATATAGAAAAAAAGTCTTCTGTATCGTTGAATAGTCAGTTTAAGTCTATTTACTGAATATTAATGCGTTCTTCAACCAAAACTTAAAATTTTGACACGTCAATTAAAACATATATTACCCGACATCGTTACCGCGCACTCGAAAAAGACTAGCAAAAAAAATTATTGTTTATATGATGCTAAATAAGTACGCAAAAGTTCCTTTTGCATAGAAAGCGGCATGCTCAGCCACGATATCTTTTCGCAATTCAAATGGTTTTCATGAAGGGTTGTAAATTGAAAGACTACATTATTTAACTTATTACTACTATTAGCCTTTGAGTTATTGAATCTGAACAAGTATTACAAAAAAGGTAGGCTTCACTCTGTATGTAAGCGTGTTCACTTTTTCAATTGGAACGACGGTTGACCACCACGATCTTCAACGTCATAATCCGAAAATCAGTCCTGCTTTCTTTTCTTTATTTAGTAGTCATTCGCATAGTCGAGTCTCTCATTCGACCTATTAACGAACTATGATGACCCCAAATAAATTGAACTGCGAGCTTATTTTCCTTGGTTTGTTTGATGACATTTAGCTTTCATCTATACCCATAAAGGGGCCGTCTTTCAAGCTCTACATTATTACGCGTGCATTTCTTAACCCTTTTAGCATACGAAAGGCGCGTTCAAACTGCGGTCCATTAAGATATCGCTAGATTCTTTCTCAACGGTGGTACTCTTCGATTAGGCATGTATACTAAAATTTCATATATTCATATATAAAAGCCCAGATCCTCTGTTTACTTACGTACGAAATGTAATTGCATATGTTTTTATGCGTGGCTTTTAGAGGCTCCCCGAGGCACACGAATCTTTACAATCAATCATGTTTCTGAGAATTCTCATACTTGTATTCCTAGCGTGATCTTGAGCAGGAAGTAGTCTAAGTCCTTGATTTTCGAACCAACGTAATCCTTTCTTCTACACTGAAAAAATTGCAGAGTTTTGTGTGGCAGCAAACTCAATTGGTATGTGAAGCCAACGCCAAATGATGGATTTTTTTTTTCTTAGACTGTGAAATTCCAAACAACGCACTTACCTTATGTACAATTATATTTTTAAAGATTAACACAAGGCAATCTTGATACTTTGGAGTATCAGCGATAGATTTTATTTCAAGTCCAATAACCCAAACAGATCTAACTAACCTTACATTTTACAGTATCTGTGGACTAAAGCAAATATTTTTTGAAATGCGCTACATAAGGATATTACGAAAATACCTTCTGTGGAATAGTAACCGTAACGTGATTCATTTTGGACTGATGTGTGAAGACGAATATTCTTGAACTCCTAGAATGTGAAGCATCGAGTTTAGTGTGAGAAACAGGTATGTTTAGGTTCAAGGCGATCATTATAGTGAACACCATATATACAAAACACTTTATATTAGCCAAAACTAAAGATTCAATTTTTCTTGATATTCAGAAGCGATTTCTAAGTAAGTGGTACAACAATACTTTATAGTACAGTATGGCTACTTGATGATAATGCGAGACCACATCGAATTGCTGGACTTGCGGCAGGAATACGCAATATAAGTATTTTTTCAACGTAAGTCCCTAATTACTTCCATCCATTAAGTATATTAATTGGTAGCGTACATTATGAAACAACAATTTGCTTAAAGAAATAATGGATCACGAAATTCGGTATGATAACGCGCAATGACCAATACCGCAAAGCGTTAGCTCAGGTGAGTAACTGATAGGAAAGAATATCCCCAGAACTGTACCACCGTATCATTGTTTTCACGCGCTCAGTTAAAAGTTAAATACTTAAGGGTGCGCAAGCTAAATCCAAACACCTATTTTTAACAGCTTATAGAGAGAGAACTGCCGTAATACGCCGAAGTACAGGTTGTGATCTTCTGTATTGAAAAATGATATAAATGGCTAGCCGCGTGCCGCAGTAGCCATTGTCTAATTACGGAGTCTTATCAAGTGAAAAAGAAGGCCAAGCTTGAATCCTCCATTTTAAGATCTAACCTTTCGCTACAAAATTTCCAAAGGAATTGGGGCGTAGGATCAATAATGGAATATGTGCAAAATTAAAATTGGTAGCGCTTAAGGAAAGCAATGGCCAATGGCATTCAAGTTGAAGCAAAACCTGACCGGCATATAAACTTTTTTCTGAGGAGCACTTCGGACGCTTCAGAAGCAGAGGGCCACAAGCCGCGCACAGTTATTGGAGCTCAAATGTTCAACAGCTAGTAGACTAGTGGTGAACGTGTGGGCGAAGTCGAAAGAATATTCTCTTGGGAAAAGAGTGTATTTGGAGGCCTGCACTAACGAAAGATATTGCTCAGTAAACGGAACAGCAACTGCAAGGCATTTTGTTGATCAAGTTCGTAGGCTCAGAGCGGTTGTGCCATTTTAGCTATGACTCAAAGCACAAAACATACGACGGCAGGACAAAAAAATTCGCAGTGGTATTTTTACGCAGCGCATGAAAGCCTTACATAATGAGCTCCTAAGTTGTTTTGAGGAGCAAAACGAATCGTTTGACGACTATGCATTACAAAAGAAAGCTATCGCTGTAAAATTGACCGTCAATTGTGATAAGAAAGATAAATAGTCACAAAAAGTAGAACTGAAAGATCAACTTTTAGTGCGAACGTACACTGATATTTTGCTCTATATTGCATTGAAAAAGCGATGACCTTGGTAGAATAAGAGCGTTAGTGGTTCACATACGTATTCCTTCTATTTAAAACGGAGGAGCACTTTCTGTCTCGGATGCCTAAAACCGATACATTTGGGTTTCTAACGTATCCGGGCTAATAGGCAGCATGGCCAAGCCTGTGCACGAGCAGAAAGCATGCAGTCATTCTCGAGCCAGCCTCTATTCGCCAACTTACGCATCGACTTACGCGCTCTGCATACATTTTGCATAGAAGTGGGTCGGCTTTTTCAGTTCTGCAAAAGTATTTCTTAACCGGCTGTAATTAAATAGAAGTTGAACTAAAGCGCAAATTAGCCTACGAGTTTTCTTTTTAACGACATATCCTAATATTTAGAAAAATTTACGTGGTTCAGTATCTGTCAGAGACTTCCCGTATCTCACACCGTCTCTGCTGCTATTTTCTCAACATTTATTCTGCCTGGGTTAGTCAGGCATCCTCATTTTGCTATGAACGGCTCCAATGTATGAGGATTATTGCGTACCCGCCGGGCCAGGACTCCAACGGCGACTATCGCAGACCTATGATTTGCTGTGCAGACGCGTAAAGCCATAGGTCTTCGTGTGTCGTTTAGGAGTTGACCTATGGTCGCTCGCTAAAGTAGACACGACGGCTTAAGTTACCGTAACTTCTCGAACTGCTACTGACTAGTGTTAAAGCCTACAGAAGTAAGGGAAGTTCGTATTTGTAACGCTTCTTCATTTAGAGAGCTCAGTTTATATACAAACAATTGAGCTAACGCATAAACAGGACGTGTTTATAGTATTGCCTAAAGTATCGTCAAGCGTTAGAGGACGGAACAATACAAGCTCTTCAGCAAGGATCTGTTTGTTAAGGATGAGAAAGCGACTATCTACAGAGAGAGCGAACCGTTAATACTCGAAGGCAATGCACACCCGAAGATTGTCGGCATGTTTCCATCAAGGATCTGAAGCTCGTACTAGTGTGGAAAGAAAATACTGATTTTCCTCTACGAACCGTGGGTCTGAAGCGTGCAGGCAAATAGGGTCAAATATTTCAAGCCTTACGATGCACTGTGTCAAGTGAGTGAGGGACACAAAGTAGTGTTCGGTACAGTTTTAGAACCAATAATTTTCTTGATATTAAAGAAAAATGTGGCGCAGAACACAGTCGTGCTGGAGGAGGACTAGATGAACAGTAAGGGCACCAACAAGTGCAAAGTGCCGATATAAGCTTAGAACCGCAGTCATTTCACACCAATCAACCATTAATAATGGCTCCAGTGGAAATTACTGCTAACTTGTTTTGCTACCGAAATGTGTTCGCGAGGCCTACGAACAGGGTAGAATACAAGCGGCTGACCAAATTTGCCATTGAAAAGCTATCATAGTCATTTTGTTTCATTCTAATCATATCAACTGTTAAGCGAAAGTTGATTATAAAGATCCTTCGAATCAATATTCCGATGCCATTAATAGGCTATATACAAAAAGAGAGGCTATATACAACCAGAGACGCATTGCACTTCCCATTCGATCTCACTTTGAATTTTCGGCCTATCAAAAAGCCGCGGGTATTACGCCGGAAGGATCATTTGCTCGAAATATGTCAAGGATGGGCCTTGTAACGCCTTCACTGTCCAAAAAATGAGAGCGTATTTGCAAGAACGAGTTGACGAAGGTATAACATTTTCAATTCTCTATCTGATTATGGCATGAGGTCCATACGGCGATCAGGCGACGAGTTTAGAAAAAAATGCTGAGAACAATAGGTAACGATCGACTGACAGTTTGCTGTAATTTTTTCATGAAAATCATCTGGTTGTTAGGTTTTCACTTTCCGTAACGATCAAACAAGCCGTGTTCGAGCATCTAAAGAAGTGAAAATAGCTGTTGAATCGACAAATTTCTTTCAACAATTTGTAAAAAGATATGCAACAATTACAAGCCAATTAAGTCAGTAGTAAAGAATGTTAGCTGATTTGTACAACCAATGCGAAGAAGCTTTCAAAAACTAAAAATAGTTATTCTCTAGTTGGTTTTCACGACGTTTGAGGTAGGCAAGCTAAAAAAAATTGCATAGTGATGTGAGTACTGTTGGACTAGGAACAGTACTGCGTCAGATTAATGATAGCGATTCGCACATGGGGCATTAGTCGGGAACCGTCGTCGAGTAGATGTCATCATCATTTGACGCGATTGGAATAACTTATGTGGTGTGAAGACTGCAGAAACTAGATCACTGCTTACTTGAAAGTCACGCGTTTTTTTGTCTTGCGGCAGTGTCGTGATAGTTTTCAGGTTCAGTCGGCCCATTTTGCAAATAACGCAATAGTTAGATCAGTCTGTGAAGGTTGGAATTGAAATTCAACTACGACTAGGGACAGCAATAGAATATCAGTTTCGGCCTTATAAAAATTCTGAATACACTGATAACTGAGCATATGACAATGTCCCAAAGTTAGTGTGTGCTTACGCTCAAGTATTTATAATATTGGCAGGAAATCTATGGATAACGAAAATCCTTGCAATATTTGGAAAAAAAAGACCGAACCGCACCTGAATAAAACAGAACTCAACACTTCGCAGTATACGGAAGTGTACTACTTCGGGAGAGATACTTCGTAAGAGCCGTATCAGTCCGCGAATACGGTATCTCCTAAAAAAGTAAGACATTGGGGTACGATTACGACAATCTCGACAACACTAACTTTCGAAAGTGCATCGCTATGTTAAGCATCATAACCGCTTATTATTTTTAATAAGGATTTGGGATTGGGCAGCGGAATCGTTTAGAGTTGAACTACGCGTGAATCAAACAGCAGTCAGCACAAGTCCAAAATTTTTATTGGAGGCTCTACATGTTTGTTCTCTTACAGAACAACGATGCAAATATGTGAAATGGCTCACGAAGAGGCAGGAAAGGTGTGGTTAGCAAAAACCGAGATTGGCAAAATGAGCCAACAAAACTAAAAAGGATCTGGTGACGATGAAAGTGGATGAGGAGGGACGATGGTTGCAGCAGCTCAAGGAACATCGACAAATGGTTCGGACGTCGACACCAGTTAGTCAGAGACAAGACGAAAAGCAGTCAAGACACCATTAATACACCGTTAACTAAGATAAAACGAAAGCTAGCTCTTTATGGAAGCTATTTTTGAGAGATCAATCGTCGAACTTCATATGTACCGGTGATGAATACCAGTTTATAGTTAAAGTTCATAATTCAGCTTTAAAAAGCATCGAGCGAAAATACATGCAGAGAGCAACTGTTTGCACGGAAAGTCGCGAAGTCACACTCATAAAAAATAGCTATCATACCGATAGGCTCGACGGTTATGGTAACCATGTCGACGAATATTTCAACGATGTGTAACAGCAATTTTAATGGCAATATTTTAATCGAGAATACCAGCAACAAAGACAACAAAAATAAATCACCGATTAATGGTAATATTAACAACTACAGTACTAGTAATAATTTGATAGTTAATATGTAAACGAAAAATGATGTATGCGACAAAGGATGTAATCTTTAAAAAATCAATTGTCAAGAATTGCTGAATGTAAATAATCAGTTGCAGCTTGACAAAACACGCAACAATAAATTCTCGTTTGCATTATTCAGAAAGAGAAAGCTACGATTGGATGCAGAACGAAAGCAGCGAGGACCCTTTTACGCCGGAAGCGTCGCAGCACTCCGAGCCCTGTCGTGAAATGATCTCACTGGGTGAAATAATTAACTTCCCGCCCAATGGTCCTGCGGTTTTCATCATTAATCTAGCTACAAGGTCAAGAAATTTTAATGCATATAATTCATTGAAGTAGCTCTATCCGCAATTTTAGCTCGGAGATTTTATCCAGTGCATTTATGTGATCTGGACAGACCTCACTGTATGAGGTTTAACAACACTCCGTGGCACCAAACACACTTGCTTGAAAAGCTCTATTTTGTCTAGTTTCGCAGGTTAATGTATCTGCAAACGGTAACGTCGCTTTCCATTGAAGACTACATATACGTTCACTGAAATACAGAAGACAAAATACCTTGCATCAATTCCTAAACCGTTCTAAACAACAATCGTTAAAATGAGTTCGAAAGAATCCGTATTATCTTCTAATATTGTAGTTCTTAGGTGCGAAAGAAGAAATAAAAAAACTGTAAATATTGTAAGCCTAACCTAAGTAATTACTCTGGAAATTGACCCAGAGCAAGAACAGTTCGCCCGTTAAGTCACAAGTAATCAATAATGTATACGTATGTGTTAAACGAAATATAATCATAATAGCCGAATAACTTTCATATAATTATGTGAATGCTTCGATAAGTAAAGCAGAGCATACGAACTTTACACGCTCATTGTTTTATACAGCGCCTGACTATGTTTCCTTAAATAGTTACATCTGTACCAGATCCTAACAACCACATTTACTGAGCAAAATGCATTTATTTCAAAACCCGCCTCTATTTACGTCCCGCGCTGCCATTGTAATTCAGTTTAGTTTCGATTAGAGGGCGAGCTGTCTTCAACTACTCTATACATAGAACGTTATACATCGCTGAGTTTTAGCTGAAATATAACTCAATGATGCTAACTTTGTAGTACAACCGTATGTCGTGAACAGCAGACACGACTCCGTGCAGCCGACGCCTATAGAGACCTTGCCCTCGTCTGCTTGCTTGACTTTAGTGTTCATCTTTATTAATTGGAAGCTCTATTAGTGTTTATAGCTTTTGATACGCATACCCAGGTTTCGTTCGCTAACAAATATCGCACTATGAAGTGTACTTCTAAGCTCTATCACGGATTTCCGTCCAGTCAAGTACGGAGCTTTTAATTTTCTAAGAAAACTTAAAATAAGCTTAATAACCTGTTGGGAGAACTAACGTTTCAGCTTTTCGTGGGAGCACTAGACGTGACCGCTTCGAGTCGGAACCTTATTTCCATAATCCGCTCGGCACCGAAATTACTTGCAACTAGTTACGATTCTTTCCCATTCTTACAGCGATAAGAGCTTATCGTCCAGATAGTTCTGGTTTTATTTTTTGACAGAATGGTGCCGATATAAGATCAGGCTTGCGCACCGTGACTACCACACCCTAACGAGGCTTATCTTTCTATCTGTTCAAAATGTGCCGTCCTTATCGGAGTTGAATTGCCGTCACATCAGCGGCATAGTATGCTCAAAAACGATTTTCGGCTGACGCGTTAACCACGACTAGTATTCAAATTTACATCAAGTCGGCACCGTTGGACTCTGAAATCTCTTGGAGACGTCTCTTTTGGGACAAAAATTCTGGATTCGCCAATTCTGTAAAGCACGAGCTTCCCTAACGTCAATACGCGAAGGTGCTTAGCGGAATTGTTAAGCTGAAAAATCTGTCCAAGAAGGTATCGATGATTTTTTGCAACATCCGTGATAGTCAACCTTGAGGATTTAGGTGACTGAGATTGTTCATCCGACTCACATAGAAGTGTTCACTGAAACCAGTGGCCAAGTAAATGATTCCATAACTGAGGCAGTGATGTAGTGCGACAGAAGCGCAAGACGTGAAAAGACAGTGGCCGTGAGATGAAACGTCTTTTTTGATCTGCCGCCTCCTTAATGACGGTGTCCCTTTCCTTATCATATTATATTCTTAAATCGGCTGTATACTAATCATGCATTTTCATACAAATTACACTTTTTGAGATTAGTTAACTAGTGGGGGGAACTAAGTGAGTCGAATAAAATTCGGATTTATATGGCAAACGTATAATATTCTGCTGCTGTAAATTCAAATTAGTACTAATGCTCGCCGATTGACGTTGGCTCGTATCCGTAGAATTTTCCGTAGGTTGTAGGTTAACATGATAGCGACTATTCAGACTGTCTAATATAGCCAGTTTGGGCGTATGTGTTAACCCGAAGCGTGAGCGAGAAGTGTTCATATCCTAGTGTATTGTAGTAGTACCTGTTATTCACTATTGGAGACAGCCCTTCTTTTGATTAACTGCAGCGAATATTTAACGTATCGATGAAATTCCCGTCTCGTACATGTTTCTGTTAATGAGTTGGTATTAATCGTCGTAATTAATTAGTCAAACCATTCACTTTTGTCAGATTGCATTTAAAGGCATATATTTATAAAACATTGGCATAATAATTTTATTATGCGATTCTATAGCATATATATGACGCCCTCATAGACCCAACTAAAATTTCGGCCATACAACGGTTCTTGAAGCTGTCAATCTAACACTAAATCTAAAACTTATAAAAAAATTATTTAGAATTCATTATTGATTGTACTGTACAGCACATTAGTGCCATACTTCGACTTGTTACCTAACCGGACTACTCATTGACTGAAGTTGCGAGCAAGAGGAAGGAGCACAATACATATCTAGACCTACTAGAGACATATACATATACATCAGGTTTATAAAACGTTTGCATTTTGCATACTGTGGACTGTATAGCGTGTCATTACATGTTTGTTAGACCGCTCAGGTCCTTTCCAAGCCTCGTCCATTATGGCCACTATTCGGATCCCCGTTTTGTTGAGTTTTTGGAGTGGTAGAGTTGAGTATTTATTGCATTGGCGACGGAGGTTTTCGGCCAACATGTCTAATCACAGGTTGTTCGGTGCAATCGCATCACCCTTTCGAGAAACGAGGCCTTTCTTTGCTCACTGAGATTCTCTTAGATTATCCCGAATCCGGCAACTAGTATATAACAGAGATGTTATGTAATGGAGCCGACAATGACTGAGGGGTAAGTACTATCTATCAAGGCCTTTCTGCATCAGTATGCAGAGACTGTAGTCGTCATGTGAAATCAGCAACCCTAATTCAGCGAATCGTTTACATATGTCAGCTACCAGACAAAGAAGAATAGCCTGTTAGAAGTCTCAACTATACCGCCTCTCCTAAATTCTATTCTTTTGGTAAAATTGATTGTCTGACTCAGTTCCGAGATTGTAGATTGTGATCTGAATAGGACCTGCTGCACATGGAAGCGATTGCTTCTGTAAGTAAGTCGTTTGTATAGGCGACTGCTACTGCAAATAACTAAGCCGTTTGTATAGATAAAAACGTTTATCATATTAATGGCTTACGTATTTTGTTGCATGGATTTCTAAGCAGGACTGACAAAAGGACAAGACCTAAGTTATCATCCTAGACGACACCTATATTCTGCAGAAACGCCGATAATTTTAAGCTCCCATCATTGGCTCTCATCCTGTTCTCCTTAAAGATTTTGCTGCCATTAGGTTAAACATGCACGCAAAAACGTCGACGTCGACGAGAGTGTTTAAGCATAAATTCCTTTTTAAGGACTGCTTTGAGGTCCATGAATACTACACAGGATATTGTCGAGAGCTACTTCGCCTTTACTTAATATCGGCACGTATGATCTTATATCCTGTATCTATCGAATTATCCCTTCTGTATTCGTATTGCTCCTTGGAGATCGCACTCCCACTGTCCAGAAGCTTGGTTTACTCTACTTGCCAGCAAATACGAAAGAAGTTTATACAGCAAACGCTATTATTCGCGATCTTGCATCGTAATGATGGCTGACTTAGGTCACCTTTGCCCTCGAGGATAATAAGCACTGTATTACGCCATCGAACAGAAAGCAGTTCGAAACAAGCAAGTTTGTTGGACAAGGCGGTCCAGAACGCAGTTAGCCCTAGGATAGCCTTGACGTGTTCACTCCCTATCCTGTCTGAGACACTTCGATCGTCGATGCAAAAAATCCCCTCAAGCTGTAGTGTTGCTAGTAGCCTAAGCGCATACTACCGGCGTGCAAGGTGGTAACTGTAACGAAATAAGACTGACGTCTTCTGGGTTGAATTGGACAAATTGAAAATCACGGGATGTCGACGAGCTGACGCGCAGCGACAACAATCAAGCTTGGCACTGGTAAAACCTCATAAGCCCGTTCCAGAAACTTCTTCAATGAAGATTTCTTTTCTTCAAGCGAGAAGTAGTCCCAACAGGATTTTCAGGAGACCAATCTGATAGAAAAATGCATCTAGAGCTATTCTTCCTCACAGAAAAAAAAAGATTCTCGTCGACGTATTTGATTTTATTCTTGCTTGTGTTCGTTGCCAAGATATGCATGACAAAGTTTCCTGAAAGACCGACAAGAGTTCGTATTGTTATGATGTTGACTACCAACAATAATGCTCTATTAGCGTGTTTCGAAATATTTACGAACAGTCCGAAATGGGTGCATTGAAGTCTCCTGTCAAAATGGTGGGAGCGGCAAAAGT